CAGCCGCTCCTTCTCGAAGGATTCCTGTTCCGTAACGATCATCGAGTTCAACCGAGCCACCTCCCATTCGAGTTCTTCCTGGCGATCCCTGTATTGCTGCTCCGATCGATCCAGGCGGCCMACCAGCGTATCCAGCTTCTCGCGCTTGGTCGACATGGCTTCTTTCTCTCGGTCCAGCTGGGCCCKTTCCTGCTGGTACCGGGCGGTGAGCTGGGAAAGGTTTTGTCCCATTCGATCCATCTGCTCCATTTTTGCCTCGTAGGTCTCCTTGAGGGATTCTTTTTCGGATGCCAGGAAATCTCCGAGGGCAGAGAGTTGATGCTTGGCCCTAGCGACCCGATCCCGCAGCGACTCTTCCAGTGCCTCTTCCCGTTGTTTCTTTTCTTTCTCCCATTGCGATTCCTCTTCGGCCTTGGATCGTTCCCAGTGCTCTCTTTCCTGCCGGATCCGGTTCGTAAGGTCTTCGAACTCTCTGCGCTGCTCCACGATTGCTTCTTCGTCGATGAGCATTTGGTGCTGGATCTCGTTCATTCGTTCCTGGAGCTTCCGAAAATGCTCGACCTGAGCCTCGGTCTCCTCCTTCAGGACCGCGCTCTCTTCGTCGTGGGCGGCCTTGGTGGCCCTCGCTTCGTCTTGCAGCGCGGAGAGCCTACGCTTGGCGTCCTCGATCTGGGACTTGAGGTTGGTCCACTCCGCGTTGGAGGTGGCCATCTTGGTTTTGAGGAGGCCCTTGATCTGCCTCGTGTCCTGCTGGGTCCGGCTGAGCTGCGACTCGGCCTGCTCAAGGTTCTTGTAGGCAATCGCCAGGCCCTCCTCGGCCTCGGTCCTCTGCATCTTGAGCTCCCCGACCGTCTGCTCCATCAGGACCTGCTGGGCYTCCAGCGAGGACTCCTTCCGCTCGATCTCCTCCTCCTTCGCCGCAAGCCGCTGTTCGTGCTTCGTGGCCTGCTCCAGACGCGACCCGGCCCGGGCCTCGTCGAGGGAGAGCTGCTCGAKCCTCCGGCGGAGCTCGGCGTCCCCGGCCTCCAGCCCCGTCCGGAGGGCCAGGAGCTCTTTCCCCTCCTCGCGGACAGCTCGCTCTCGCTCGCGCAGGTCCCGCTCGCGCTCCAGCAGGGCGTCGGCGTCCTCCGCCATGCCCTGCTGCCGAGCTCGCAGGTCGTCCCGCTCGGCGTCCAGCTCGGCCGTCTGGGCCTCCTGGACGACGATCCACTGGGCCTGGAGTTCCCGGAGCTGGGCCCGCTCCTCGGTGAGCCGCTCGAGCTGCTGCCTGTGTTCCGAGTGGGAGTGCCTGTGCTCTTCTTTCCACGAGAGCTGCTTCGCGTGCAGCTGCTGTTTGAGGCCCTCGACCTGCTGGCCCAGGATTTTGTTCTGCGCCTCGGCCGCGGAGAGGCCCTGGAGTGCCTTTTGCTCCGAGAGCGAGGAATCCCGGAGGGACTGCCCCTGTTCCGAGACCTTTTCCTGCAGGTCGTAGACCTGCTCGTCGAGCACCCGGATGCGCTCGTCCCTGGACTCGAGAAGCCTGCCCTGCTCCTCTAGGCGCTGCTGGCAGGTGCCGAGGTTGGCCTGTAGTTTCTGGACTAGGGCGTGGAGCTGGCTCTTGGCCTGGTCCGAGGCGTTCTKGACGCTGCTCCCGCCGACGGCCTGGAAGTGGCTCGTGTTCAGAAACGAGGCGTGCGGGTTGTGGTTCCGCGAGTGGGCGGCAACCGACGAGACGCTCGTGTTGTTGGAGACGCGGCGGGCGATTTCGGAAACCGAAACACCGCTCGCATCGGGTTCGGAAGACAGGATCGTGGTCCTGGTCTGCTGCTGCTGGCTGCCGGTGGATGGCTTGTATTGTTGCTTTTGCTGTTGCTGTTGCTGCTGTTGCTGTTGTTGTTGCTGTTGCGGGTGGTGCTGCTGCTGCGGCCGGGGAGGCGGTGGTTGCACCCGGGGGGCAGCCCCTCGCCCGGGAGAACCGCGGCTCTGGTGGACCGTTTCGTGGTCCCCGTCGTCCGGTCCTTCCTCCTCGATGACGGGGGAGAAATGCACCGGCGATCCGCTCGTTCCTCCGCCGGAAAGACCCAGCGCKGCGCCGTGCTCCTGAACGCCCGGRTCCGGGCTGGACAGGAGGCTGATGGAGTCCTGTGGGGTGATGTGGCTGATGCTGCTAAAGGGCTTCGACGGAGACGCGGCACCGATCGAGGACAGGGGCGCGGCGCTCGGGCCACCGTTGCCGATGGGGTTCTTGGCCCTCTTGGCCGGGGATCGCGCGTACAAGCCGCTGTGCCGCGCAGAGGCCGACGGGGGGCTCGTTCCCTGTGGGTGCGGGGCCGGGGGTGGCTTCTCGCTGTGGCGGAGGCCGAAGGGATCCGCCCCCGATGCCGTCGTCGTGGTGGATCGGTTTCCGCTCATTGCCGTTGGATTGGATTGGATTGGATTGGACTGCGTTGCAACGCGTTGGATTTCGAGCGAGAATGAGCTGCTACGTATCCCGTTTCGATTCACTGCACTGCACTTCACTGCACTGCACTACAAGCACTGCGCTGCGCTGCGCTGCACTTCGATTCTCTTTCGGACGCCCGTTTCTCGGCCTGGATCAGATGCGATGTGGATGCGATTTGGATGTTACTTCGACTGTTGCTCGCAAACTAAGCCTATGTTGATTCTCCTCTCTGCCGGCATTCCATAATTGTCCCCTTTGGCCGGAATGAAATCGGGTGCGTTGCAGGTATGGTGTGTGCAGAAGTCGGGATCAACAGAGTGTGGATGCCGACGACGACGACGATGTGCCGTTGTTTTTTAATTCTGAAGCCAAGTGCAGAAGACCCAGCTTGCAAGTTTCTTATTTTTTGACGAAAGCATTGCATTGCCCTTGAAAGCAATGCAGGTTCCCATGCTGACCTTTTGAAAACCTTGTCTCGCGCCAATTTTTTTGGAGTGTTGGGCTTGCGCAGTCGATTTTGGTATTGATCGAATTTCAAAAGGAAGCTYACAAAACCCCCAAAYAAATTCCCCTTTCACAGATTCATTCGACTTCTATGATTAGATTGGTCTGCTTCGGTAGCGGTGGAAGTCGAAAGTTATCAGGCAGCACTGTATTACCATACTACCGCACTAMCGTAC